TTTATGGGCAAGATATGGTTTGGGGGACTCTTTGGTCTGATTACTTGCAAGATGTTTCAAGCCATCTTATTTGCTTCACAAGCCTTCTCAACCTGGATCCTTGCAGCTATCGCTGTCGATCGCTTTTATGCAGTAACCAGACCCTTCAGATTGTCACCTATATCTCAAAGTAGATAAGTTTGCTTCTGTGGGCTTGGTCTTTTGCTTTGTCAATAACATTTGTTATTGGGGGTATGCACGGGCATTTCTGAACGAGTTCTTGACAACTCCCTGGTATTCCGTGGGTAATGATGTTCGTTATTGTGGTTTTGTATGTTCTTTGTAGGTTCCCAATGTTTGTATCATTTTTTTTTTATTTTTTTATTTTTTTAATTTCGTCGTACTTATTCTGCTTTGTTTGGTTATCGTTTTTCTACAGTGGTTTCAATCCTTACATTTATCTCGTCTTTAGTTAAATTTTCGCAACCGCTTTCGAAGAATCTTCAGAAGTTGTTTGATTAAAATTGTTTGATTAAAATTAATAGTTAATAATAGGAAAGTAAGTCTAGTGCAAGCAACTTCTCCTGCTCTTAATGGGAACCCGTCTCGTTACATACTAATACTTGCATCCTCTTGTACCTATGGTCGCTATTAGCTAACACACCATCCCAATTATTATCGAATGATTTCCAAACCTTTTTCATCTGTGGTCTTCTTCGTACTTGCAAAACGACGGGAACTTTTCCGACGACACATGGAAGAGATAAGCTTAAATCTTTAGTTCAGAAACGCAGACCGCTCAAAGCAGTCGGTCGACACATTAAGCGTGTGATAATCGCACAACGCCACAACTGTCAGCCGAATTTTAATGCAATTTTATTCTCGTGATAACGTGTTGACAGCCATTAATTAGAAATGATTAATAAAAGGAAACATTTTTCGTTGATAACTTTGCTTGCAATCAATCATTTTTGTCGGACCTATTTTACATGAAAGAGCTTCAAAAGGTCTATCTGAAAAAGCCAAAAACAAACTTTTAAAAGAATGGTAAATTCGGGGTTATAATGATACCTTAATATTTATAAGATAATAGATGAGAACATGTACAAACCAACAAATCATGCAAACGTGAGAAATTTAGTCAAGGATTGTGTTTTCCCATGCGCAATTCAACTCTTTGCATTTAAATTTACTGTTAAGGCTTAGCCAAAAGTTAAAGTACACAAAATTCACACTATATTGCAATGTATTGGAATATGTTGCAGATGCAACAGGCGCCGGTGACAAAGCATGTGCAACGTAAAAGCTATGAGCAACAATGTTGCAATATGTCACACTGAAATGTTGCGTGCGTTTCATGGGGTGTTTATGCTTTAGTCTTATCTAAAAATAAGATAAACACAATTAGCAGTCTTTTCTATTTGTAAAACTAACAATTGCAGTCTTGTACAGTGGAATACATGCAATTGAAATTCAAAGGAACACATTTTTTCATTATCGAAAGAACGAAAACGAAAGCAAAAAGGTCAAGTTTACTACCAGTCGGCATGAAAATCTTTGTTGCAGATGTCGAGAAAATAAATTTTGCACCCGAACAAGCACGTAGCACAGTAAGTAAGGTTGTGGTTTTCTTTAAACAATTTTCCTGAATTATACGAAATGATGATACTATTATTATCTTAAGGCCTCACATCAGCCAGTTGATGTAAATAATGCTTACTAATAAAACCAATGATTTTTTTTTTCTGGAAGATCTAACTTCCAAAGAAGTGAACAGAATAGACCCGCAGGAGAGAGACTAAAGACATTCCCCAGCACCCTTATATGGTAGGCAACTTTGTTACTGTTCTTTTTTTTTCTGGAGTCGGACCCTACAAATTAAATTGTTTTTCTTATTGTAGAACCAGTTTTGGCATGACCATGTCAAATAAATGTGTGAAAATATTTCAATATATGTATTATAAGAAGAATTCAATACCAATAATATCGAACCCAAAAGCACACATTTCTCAGTTCGTGTAAGCCAAGCATTTATCGTAATGATAATATAATGTCAAGTTTAGTCTAGCTTACTACCGAACTATCATCAAGTTAGCATCCAATGTACAAAACATGGATATAAAAAAGGCTCAAAAATTATTTCGTATACTGAGGAGTTACGGATACTAAAGTCTGTGTTGGGCCAAGTGTTCCATATTAGACTTTATCTCGGCTTCAGAAACATGGCGCAACTAGGAGAATTTCTCCACCTCCTCTCCTCCCCATTAGGGGGGAAGCTATTCTACCGCAAGGCTACCCCCAGCATTAAATACATCAGTACAAAAATACACCGAAGGCGAAGAGGTAAGGAGAGTCTGTTGTTGAGAACAGTGAATAGCGATTATTCTTCTTTAAAATAAATCCAAATTTGGACAAAAGAAAAATACAAAATATGGTTGTTGTGGAAACATCAGTTTCGAGAGCAGAAACATAACAAAACCAAATTTTCCTAGAAATTAAAATTTCATATACAGTCGCAAAATTTGACTGACTTTAAACTATTGAAGTCTGCGATGATATTTTCCATAACAAAGACCGGAATGAGAGTAACGTACCGATAATGTAACATAACCTATATGTTGTATTTGTTTAGACAAATTCCACGTATTTTCCCCAAATTTCTTTCATCGATTGAGTTGTATCAACTCAAGGATGTCAGTGTTAATTAAAAAGTTTAATTATAGATCATTCTATCATTTTCCTATTGGCAAGCACATTGATTTTGCTTTCCACTGGCCCATTTGTGAATTGGTCTTTGTTATATTATATTTGGTTGCCTTACAACCTTGCTAAAAGTTAAGTTTGAAACGGAAATTATTTCTTCGTACAGTCACTAGCAATTATGATGATGATGATGATGATGATGATGATGATAATGACAATGATTACAGTAATAATGGTGATAATAATAGGACTTGCGTGGCGAAAATTCAACATGCGCTTTCAAAAAATATTAATAAAAAATAAACAGTTAATAAAAGGAAATAAGACAAAGTACAAATGCCTTTTAGCTAATTAATTAACTAACTAATCAATTAATGAAAATCTAATTTAAAAATTTTAGTATATCGAAGGACGTTCGCTATTTGACGTTCGCTATCTGTCCCTCCTCTGAAAATGTGGTTAGTCGGCGAGGATTGCCTGCCTTCAAGGTTGGCATTAGTAATACCGGTAACACAGGGACCCAATGTTTGCTGCTAGAAGGTGGAAAATCAGTATTTGTCTGACGTTCTAATTAACGGAAGCGCTTGTTTTTATCGGGAGACATACATCATGTAACTCGCTAGAACTTTAAATGAAAACTGTCATTTTGTTTGTTTGATAACCCAGTTAATACAAATCATTAAGGTAAAAAGGGTGCCAAAGTCATCAACTTTAAATTTGAATATTCGCGTCTCACTCACGTAGGCTAGGAAACGAAAAATGTATTACTAATTTCAGCAATGCAACTGTACATGGATATCCATACAACCTTTCAGAATTTTTTTGAAGAAAACTACACTCTTACAACTATAGCCGGTGAAGCCCGTCAGTTTTTTACGGCTGTCAAACGTATCTGCCACCCGTGGAACATTGAAAGCTATGTTTACCGTTGAAAGCATGTTATTGGAGGATGTTTCGTTGCTCAAGCACTTTGCAAATGGCTTAGTTTATACCGGCTATAACAATTGTTCAGCCAATCAAAATTTTGGGGCATATAAAGATTCCCGTATTTAATTTAAGTCGGCCCCTGCATAATCTTGAACAAAATTTGTTTTGAACTGGCGCGGATGGAAAGTGATCGATTTCTTCTTTTTATGAAATGGCATGTCAATGAATAGCTTTTGAACGGCGTTGATATTCACTAAACACCTTTGAAAAAGGTAAGGGAAACCGGCCTCTCGACAGCCAGCTTCTTGAATTTTTTCATCTGTTATTGCTGCTTGCCCAGAATCCGTTCGGTACTGCAGGCGTTAGTGACAAATTTATTTTATCCTACACAAGGGGATATAATTAGAACGTTAGTTGAATATGGTTAAAACATTACTTAGACATAAAAGGACATAAAATGTTTTTCTTTAACTTATCCTTGAATAAAATCATTAATATTTGTCTCACTCAGATGAGGCACCTTGCTATCCTTCTATATCAATTAATTGATAACACGAGTGTTAATATTTAATCAGGCTTCCTGTAAGAATTAGTAATCACTATATGTTATATTCGTACAGTCAATTTTCACGTAATTTCCCCAAATTTCTTTCGTCGGTTTAGTTGTAACAGCACGAGACGTCAGTATTAATTGACAAAATGTAATTATAGATCATTCTATAATTTTTCTGTTGGCGAACACATTAATTTTGCTTTCCACTGACCCATAATTGGTCTTTGTTATATTATATTTGGTCACCTTGGAACCTTGCTAAAAATTAAGCGTGAAACGAATATTAATTATTTTTAAAGTCACAAGCTATTAAATGTCACAATTATAATGCGCCGTAAAAGTTTTGAGGTATATATGTGAGAAATTGACAGATGTTTTCAAAAACGATCGAAGTACAGAATTTACTAGTTTTATGGAGTTTTCGTAAAACGAGGACCGGATGGCGGACCGGATGGCGGACCGGATGGCGGACCAGATGGCGGACCGGTGGAGCGGATGACAGAACGCGGATGCATGGAAAATTGCGCATGACAAAATGCGCTGGGAAGGAAATTAACTTAAGAAGTTTTCTTGCGCTGTTACATGTAGTTGCAGACAAATCAGTCGATTTTATGAAATTTATTTACTTTAAACGATACTCAGTATTCGGTATTTACATTAATGTGATAACTTGCCTTTCATTTAATATCTTATTGTTTAATACATATGTAGCTCTCATAAATTACAGAATCTGTCAATATAACAGAATAATAATTTCGGTGTTTAGGAAATATTGGCCTAGACGAAAACTTAGAACATGGAAACACCAACAAACGTGTCGTGGAAGACGGAGACAGAAGGTGCGACTAAAAAAGAAAAATCCTGGTACTAATTATAAAAGAACAAGGGTTCAACTGAAAATACAAGAAAGACAGATTTTGAATGTTAAATATAAATTTAATAGACCAGTTATTGGTAAGATGGTCTGGCCATGGGTGAGAAACTGGACGAGGCTTAGTCATCCAATGCCTGCTGACTCTGTTGAGAAGTTTGTTTGCATTTAAAACTTGTCATATCTGTTGTCCTCATATGGCAACAGAGACGAATATGTTTCTTCACTGTGTCTGTTTAAACTCTTTCAGTCCTCTCGTCTCTGCTACGATTGATTTCCAAGTTTTCCTTAACCAGCTATTTACTCAATTATATTCAAATTAATGAGTAAGGTAAACGTGTCTGCATACGAGCCAAGTGACCCATCAGGCCGGAGCTTATCCCGGTTTCTGTAGCATGAAGCGACTAGGAGTATTTCTNTCTTGCCCAAGAACACAACACAATGTCCCCGGCCTGGGCTCGAACCCGGACCGCTCGATCCGGAGACGAGCGCACTAACCATGAGGCCACCATTAACAAGTACTTATAGATTAATTATTTAGTATTAAAGTCTTTATTTAAGGTGGCTCGAAACAGTTTCCAACACTTTCCAAGATTTTAATTTTGATGGGTCATAATGACCACTCTTTAGCACTTGATGCTACAATCATGACATAAATAAAAACTGTCCACGTATTGGTTAATATGTTGTTTTGCCGATATGGCTCTGTCTCACAAGGACTGGGAACTACCGAATGCACGAATTTGATTGGCTGAAATCGATACTGAAAGCGGTCTAGGTTTCCCATCTAGACCGATTACTTTTTGCGATGAAAAAGTTGTAACTAAAATACTAAAATACAAAAATATTGACTATTTTCTTCTAATAATACTAGTGGAGATGCCAGAAAGCCTGATGAGAAAAAAAGAGTAAAGAGGACGAACAAGCTTTGGCAGATTTAAGTTCAGCTCATCGCCGTTCGCAAGCAAAATGTCAGCTAGTACAAACCAGTTACATTAAACGAACTAATTTTTCTTGTTTGCCATATAATAAACATCTTATTAACCGAGCTTAGTCGGTCTGTATGGGAGAATCTTGACCTCGGTCGTGTATACAGACCTTACTGCCTTCGGTCTGTACTCACGACCTCGGTCCAGATTCTCCCATATAGATCTCCTGCTCGGTTAATAAGAGCTAAATTACTTTTGTGACACAATATGTTACTGCTAAAACTGTGTGACCTGCTAAAACAAACTAATTCAAAAACAAATTTTGATTAGAAGGATAAGACGCAACTTTTGGCAAAGTTTTTAAAAAGTTATGTATTCGGGGTTCAGTGCCACACAAAATTTACGAATATTAAAGTACCGACTTTGAATTATAAGCACTTTGACCTTAAATTAAGGGTGCTTTTTGGTTTACACGAGAGCTCATAATTGATCGTGCAGCAGAGATATTTTCCTTTTCTACTGTTATCAGGAAATGCTACAACTACTGCACTTTCCACCACAGAGTCGGCATTATACGCAAGTCTGGCGGCAGTTTATTTCGTCATCATCTTTGCTTCCATATTTGGCAACTCGGTCATCATCCATATCATCCGGACGAGGCACTTTCTTAAAAACGCAAAAAATTACCTTATCTTCAACCAAGCATGCGCAGATTTGATCATAACATTTTCCGTTATGTGTACCATGCTGAGTGACGAATTGTTTTTCACGAAGTGGTTCGGGGGAGACTGGGGCCTAATAACTTGCGGGTTATTAGTGTGGGCGAAATTTCCAGCGCCATTTTGCTCTATTTGGAGCCTCACTGCTATAGCAGTTGATCGCTATTTTGCAGTGGTGCGTCCTCTGCATGTGTCCCCGATATCAAATCATATAAAATTGGCCATTTCTTTGATTTGGTTATGGTCACTCGCTTCAGCTGCAGGGATGGTCTCCATGGCAAAGCTATGGCTCGTCAGCGGTAGTCGATACTATTGTGTTATCGACTTTTCCCGTGTTGAGCTAACCACGATCAACGTAATAAGCCTGATCATTGAATTGCTGTTCAATTTTGCCGTGCCTGTTGTGGCCATGGCCGTGTTATATTCATTCGTGTGCTGGTATTTATTGTCACATGAAGTGCCTGGTGAAGGCGCCAGTCAGGATCAAAGGCACGAAGAAGCCATGAAGACAGCCAAGAAAGTTACCCGGATGATGATTATTGTTGTCGTTTTGTTTGGCTTATGTTGGTTTCCTTTTTATATATTTGTTGGTTTAGATAGTTTACATAAGGTCGTTCTACCTTATGCTTCAGTGAAATTTGTCGTTTGGTTAGCAAACGCCTTCAGTGCAATCAATCCTTATATTTACTTGTCATTCAACGGTAGATTCAAAAAAGAGTTTGTGATCATCATTAGAAAATTTTGTAGGATTTGTAACTGTTGTTAAGCGAGTACTGAGAGGCCGTGCTTCAGTGTTAAAACCAGGATGTTTGGGTCTTCTGGCCTTAATTAAGAACTCCATCTTGTTATTCGAAGAGCATTAAAGCCATGGCGATGAATCTTGAAGGAATTTTAGCATGCTAAAAAATGCTTCCCCTGAAGTCTGAAACATTGAATAATGGCGACGTATACCGTAGCAATGAGGTCGTTGGGTCCTATCTTGGATCTGCCATCTTGGAACAAATAATACACATTTCCAGGCCAAATCGATAGCTTTCTTAATTCATGAATTTTACTGCGCTTTTTACTTGTAAGTTTGTCTTAGTGAGAACAAAAGGTAGTCTAATGGTAACAACAGGGTTATCTTTGCTGCAAAACTATACCGCATGAAAATACAAATATATCTAAAGCCTGAATTATTGCAACCAGTACACGGTCTGTATTTAAACTAATCATAATGAAAAGAACATCTTAGTTAAATTAAAATTGAGATTGGACTAGGCAAACACTTTTAGATGCAACCTCGTTATAACTGCCACAGTGGGCCAACAGCAAGAAGCATTAACTGCATGCAAAAAACAAACGGAAATATTGGAACTGTTGTCAGGCCAGAAATAAAATAACTTTTCAATAATTTTCTTTTCATTCAATGCTTGTTGTTTTTCTACCCACCATACTGTCACCTCCTAAGCAAAATAGTGTAAACTAATAAAATTCAGAAGAATAAAATCTTACTGAGAGTATGCGTTTCCAAATTTTACGTTTATTTATTTAAGTTTTAAAATTTCAGTCGTTTGCCAATAACAACAATGCTTTTACCTCAAGCTCGGAAATTAAAAGGGGTCAGCGCATATCCAATTTAGGAAAGAGTATAAAAAATCCCTTCATGATTATGTTTCGCAAAACGAAGAATTGAGGGTTTTCGTTTTCCATTCCTCGTTATATGAATGATGGCTCATAGAACCTTGCAAACTGTTTGCGAAATAGTGGAATGGGAAATTGTTGCACATAACGTTCATAGCTTTATATGAATTGATTTTACTAGTTTTGTTTCTAATCTCCAGGAGGCATGCCATGGGTCGCTGGAGTATCACACATTCCTCTGACAATTTTGGATATATTTTCATATCTCTGGCGTCACTATTCGGCAACTCATTCATCATCCACATTATACGAACAGATAACTCCATGTAGACCACTGTAAACTACTTGATTTTAAATCAAGCATGTGCTGATCTTTACTTTAATTTA